GTTAGTTTTATTGACTTCTTTAGCATGTTTGGGTTAACTGTTGTTATGCTGAAATTTTAGGATATTATAATAAAGTCTTTGTAGCTGATGTTGTACTTGATGAGCTGAGGTTTTGCTTAATAGTGTTGACATTGAAAACTATTCGACTTTGGGGTTCAAACTGTCCTTTTGATGACTCTATGTTTGTATAAATCTTCTTCTAATTTTGCATTCTATCAGGGTTAATCAGTGCCGGATGAAGATGGGACATTTTCTTACTGGTGTGGGTGATAAGGTAGGGAATTTTCCTTGTCAAAAATACTTTAATTTATTCTCCGTTCTATATCTCAATAATTGTGCCCTTTTGACTTTTAGTTCTACATTGCACCTCATTTCCATATGGATCAGAAACACTTTGATGAAGAGAGATATGTACGGTATTGTTTGAAAGTATGGAACCATGTTTTCTGATGTTAATACCACATGCCAGCTTGACAACAGGAATGTTATGCCTATAAAGATTTAAAGCTTTAGATTTCCTATGGCACGGGAAAGTTCATTAGTATCCTATCATTGGCTGCTTAATACTTATTAACCAGGGAATTTTCTCTTTGATTCAAAGCAGACGAATTTGATATGATATTCTACTTGGCTATGTTTTATAGTCTAGTGCAGTAGTATTCTGTGGTGTACAGTTCTTGAGTGTCCTGGCTGACTTGCAATGACCTCTTGTTGATCATAGTAGGTTATCATTTGTTGATAACATTTCTTTTTGATATTGTTAATCTTCATTTATTTATTTTTCATTCATTGATTTGTTTTCTTTGTCAAGAAAATTTTGCCTACAAAGTTTGGCATCCCATGTTCTTCATTACGCAAATTTTCTAGCTGATAATCTTGTTAGTATTGGTTATAATTCTAAAACTCTCTAGATTATTTTGTTTTCTCTAATTTGCCTGCCAAAATTACAGGATGGCTTAATTGTTCTTGATCAATGACAGTTTCCTCATATTCATGTTTGTAACTTAGTTATTTTGATAATTCGGTAGGGGTTTGCCTAACCCCCCACCAAACCAGTGGATTTTCATATAAAAAAGTATATGGCATATTTATTTAAGAAATAATTAAAATCAATAGCATAGTGGCAAATTCAGTAAGAACTAGATGGCCAACTGAAAATTTCCTTTCTTCTGGCTGACTTTCAATTGCTTGGGGGCTATGATCTTCTTGGTCATTGAATATTACTAGGATCTCTTAGTTTATAACCTTAAACTTATGACTTTCATTTATTTCTCACGTCTGCTTCTAAAATACTGGTTGATATCTTTGCGCACCGCGATATACTAATGCATGCCTCTCTGACTACTATTCCTCAATCCCAAAAATCTAGGTCATGCGACTCTGGTCAGCAGAAAGCTACAAATGCTTGGATGAATACGTTCTCCCTGATAAAGCCCCTCTAATTGATTTTGATTTTGATGAGAGCAAGGTAATATTAAGCACAAAATGTATTCCTATTACTTATAAGTTATAATTCCATGCAAAGACTCCAAAGTGGTGATATTTGCACATTTTCATGTTTGTAATTTATAATTATTTTAATATAAATTGTCATAAAATAAGTTATAGTATTCAGCATGGAAGGCAAGTAAATAGATAGTTACAAGGATGAGATGAGAAAAGAAAGGCATGCCTCCGTGATTTTTAGTGTAGCAATTATAAAGATAAATTGTCAGCAAATATAGGACGTGGTTTGTCTATATTGAAGAAGATTTCTCAACTGTCAATGCACTTAGTAAGAAAAGTGGGACTATATCAGTTTATCATGGAGAAGTTGGCACTTGGCAGGAAGTGTAGATAGTAGTATGAAATGGATAATCCAAAGGATACATATTTCCTGGCTTAGTAGTAAGAGTTATACCAGGTAGAGTTGAATTGGAAAAGTTAGATATATCTATCCATCGCCATAGGGTAATGGGATAACGCTTGAGCTGAAGTTTGACCTCCATCCTGCCCCTGAGGGATATGCAGGGTGTGGATTACTTGAGTCAAAGCCCCTTCTATATTTTCTTGTTTTCTAGTAACATTTCAATTTTCACCTTTGCTGATTATGGGCCTTTACATGTAGGTTGTTGGTTTGGTTGGTACCCGGATATGTATATGGAGTCGGACTGAAACAAGAAGTATACTATCCTCACGTGATGCCTTGTTCCCAAAGGGACTCTGTATGCGGTGTGCAATGACTTTTCCTTGATTTTTATTTTTATTTTTATTTTTTTTGAAACCGTTCAAATGTTTTTGATGCCTGTGATATCTGAATAGCTTCATTCATATTCTTTTCTTGGACAGCTAAATTTTGAATAAAATAAGCTTTTAGTCAATAGCTAATTTTCTTGTCCAACTTCTTAGCACCTAAACAGAAGTCTATGTTAGAATGTGAGGGTAAATACTCAATATTGTGGCCATTGGGGATTCGGGGTTAAGCATTTGCATTATGATATTCTTAGGAGTTTTAGTTATTGACATGGCTGCTGAGCCTGCTTCTATGTAATTTTTTGTTTTATTTGTCTGACATGATTTTCATTTACACATGAAGCTTCTGTTTGGTAGTAAGTTTCTCATTATCCTTTTTTGCAGTTATGTTGATCCAGAAGCTGTGATTGGATGTGAGGATGGGAAAGTCCGCATATTTGACATGTACAGCAGAAAAGTAACTCAAATAATCAAGTATGATTCTTTAGGCTAACTTATTCCCGTGCTAATTTCTTTTACAGAGATTCCAAAAGTTTCATATTTCCGATTTTTTGGAAGAGTATAGTTTTAACTTTGTCATCTTTGTATGTTTACCCAATTTCCCCTTTGGCAGGATGCATGACGCCCCTGTTACTTGCTTATCTTTTAGCGATGATCAATTGCTTTTCACGGGTTCTAGTCAGGGTCGTAGCATTGCATTGTTGGACCTTTCCTCTGGTCAGCAAGTATCTTTACGGGGATCTACTTATGCTTCAGGTTTTTCTCCCCTTCCCACCTTATACATATCCCCTCCGCTTTTTAGTACGAGGTAATGTGGGGTCTAATTCACTCTTCTTGTTTTCCTTATAAGTCGGAATCAAGACCTTGTGTTTCAATCCTGGCTCCAATTATTTGTTCGCTGGATCCACCGCTGGACATGCATGTTGTTGGGACCTTAGGTATGCAAAACCGTAGAAGTTGCTAAAAATAGCAAAACATTTTTCTTTCTTCTTAATTAAGAGGATAAACAAAGATACTAGCTATTGGGTTAGGGTCACTCAATTGGACTATAATGCACATAGGCCAAATCACACTAAACGATTGAATCCAACCAATTAGCTAGTCTAACCCGCCTTATAAATCCATATAGCATAACATTTACTTCACACAAGTAGTTGTGGATGATGAACATTTGAAATGTTAACCGATTCTCTGTTTTCATTCGAGTATAGGAAGCAAGACAGGACCCTCTGGGAAGAACGAGTGAGTCCCAACGTTCTTTACTCCATGCATCATCTCCGAAATGACAAATCAACATTAGTCATCGGTGGGATAGATGGCGTCTTGAGAGTGGTGGACCAGGATAGCGGTGAAGTGATCGCGACACATATCATGGAAGAAAGCAGCAGCAGCAGCAGCAGCAGTGCATCTCGCCCGTCTGACCGAAATGTAACTGTGAGGAAAGTGAAAAAGCTTTCCTCAAGTGATGATCGCATTGATCTGATGTCTAAAGCTTGTCGACCAAGAATCACTTGCTTGGCTGTTGGAATGAGGAAGGTTGTGACTACACATAATGATAATTGTATCAGGGTTTGGAAATTTGAGTAGTTATGTTTTCAACAATATATTCTTTGGTATCATATTCTCCTATATTTAGTTGTTGCATAAGGTTTGCTAATGAACTTGTGGTCTAGTGGCACAAAGTGACTCTCCCATATGGGAAGTTATGGGTTCAAGTCACAAAGTTAGCAGTACTAGGAAAAAGTTGTTGCATAGGGTTTCGATTATTGTGAAAGTCAATTTGATATTAAACACTATTCTTGAATTTACCATATTAATGTTTTTAAACAAGCTTTCTCCTTCATATTAATGTTTTTGTAACAAAGAAAGCTTGAATTCTCGAACTCTAGTGACTTTCCATAGACAAAGAATCATATACCAATTGTTATACCATGGACCAAAGTTTTATTGCATGGTGAACTTTAATACAAAAAATTTTCAGTTAACACATTATGTATTTATAGTTAACAGTTTTTGTACATGTAAATAAATAACTTGATAATTACTGACACATAATATGATAACTACATGTACAGAAATTATTAATTGCAGATACAGAATATGTTAATTACAAATACAGAATCTAAATGTTATTTTTGGACCAGGGTAATGTAAGGTAGACCCTACTCCATGGTATAATTTGCCATTTTGCCGTTATCGTATTCAATCGTTATGATGTGCATCCGTATGCACCATGCATGGTGCATACGGATGCCAAAACGACGTCGTTTTATTAAAAACGCGCGTCTCTCCTTTAAAAAAAATTCAGGTTTGATTCCCAGCAACAACATTATATTGTTCATTCATTCTGGAATTTTAGTTCATAGATTATGGAAATATAGTTCATTGATTATGGAATTATAGTTCATTGATTATGGAATTGTAGTTCATCGATTCTGAAATTTTAGTTTATAGATTATGAAATTTTAGTTCATTCATTCTGGAATTTTTAGTTCATAGATTAGATTATGGAATTATAGTTCATCGATTATGAAATTTTAGTTCATATGTTGTTGCTGGGAATCGAACCTGATTTTTTTTTTTTAAGAGGAGACGCGCGTTTTATTAAAACGACGTCGTTTTTGCATCCGTATGCACCATCGGATGCACAACATAATTTGCCTATCATATTATAAGGAAGTGCAATTTTATAGGAAAGAAAAGCCCAACTATTCTGACCCATTGGGCTGATCCGATCAGTCCAATCATTATCCCCAAAATCAGATTTCAGGATTGGAGCAATTTCTCATAGAACCCTAAAGTAGTAAGGTTTGGTTTCCCAGTGGGGTCATCTACAGAGAGCCATGGTGTGCATTCGGAAGGCGACGATCGACGACCTGCTGGCAATGCAGGCCTGCAACCTGTTGTGCTTGCCGGAGAACTACCAGATGAAGTACTACATCTACCACATCCTCTCATGGCCGCAGCTGCTATATGTGGCGGAGGACTACAACGGCAAAATCGTCGGCTATGTGCTGGCCAAGATGGATGAGGAGGCCACCGAGTGCCATGGCCACATTACCTCTCTCGCCGTCCTCCGCACTCATCGGAAACTCGGCCTTGCCACCAAGCTTATGACTGCTGCGCAGAACGCTATGGAACAGGTCCTTCTCTACCTTAGATTTGGAAAGTTGCTCTTTTTGTCTCGATGCTGGATTGCTTAAATTGAATTCTATAATGATTATCTGTCTGCTTGCTTTTATATATGTGTGTGTATCTCTGAAAAGGGTGATGATTATGTGGAAAATAGTGATTTTAGCGTTTGCAATGAAATCTGTGGAATTTTGCTCTTTTTTTTTTTTTTTTTTTTTTTTTTTTTTGGTTCGATAGATTTGGGGATTCTATTTTGAATATCTTCTGGCTGTTAAGAAAACTGAAAACTTGGTACGGGAAATTGGGTTTGCAGGTACTGCTGGGGTTATGTTGGAGTGACTTCAATACTTTGTGTTGCTTCTGAGCTTTTTTGCTTCAATTACTATTTTAGGTTGTTTTGTTGTTTCTTACTTGAACAATTGTCTAATAAAGTAATGATGGATGCTTAATGGTGGGCTTACCGAAGAAGAGTTAACAATGAATTCATAGGTGTAACTAAAATGTTCACGACATGTCTTTGGCCCTACAGAATGAATTCAGAGAGAGTATAAAGAAAAAGTTAATATCTATGTGCAAGTTGCCATGATTTTCTAGAGGTGAGGGTAGCCTAGCTGAATGGAGAAATGTATTCATGTAGCCAACGCTTTTGATAATAATAAAAAATTCCAAGTTCATTGCTGCTAGGTTGTTGGTTCTACCCTTTTTAGCATTATCTTAGGGTATTATATGGAATGTTGCTCAGATATTAGGTTTTTGTTGTTATTGTGAATTGAATGATGTGTTCCCTGATTTTCAAAAAAAAAAAAGAATGATGTGTTCCCTCTCAATAAAACTCTAAACTAATGTTCATTTCTGTTTATATTGTTATATGCTTAACATTGTGATTTGTCAATTGTCAGTGCTGTGGTATGTGCTGTCAATGTTCATTTCTCCGCAGAAAATGTTATGTACAGCCTTATAAAATTTTTGTTCAAGGAGGAAAAAGAAGAAAAACCAATCAGATTGCACACATCAATGTCACTTTTTTTTTTAATTTTTTTATTTTTTAATTTTTTTAATTTTATCTGGCTGTTTCATGGTCACTTAATTATATGTTCAAGTAAAAGGGCATTTTGAATCTTCTTTCAACAAATTATTCCCTTAATGTTTGCTTATAATTTTAAAATGACATTTGAAAAAATCAGTTTGTCCTGTTTCGTTTCCCTTGGATGGTCATTGAATGTCATTGTATTTTATGTTCTCAACTTACATCTCAATATGGCATGCATAACAGGTCTTTGGGGCAGAATATGTGTCATTGCATGTAAGGAAAAGTAACAGGGCAGCATTTAAGTTGTACACTGAGACATTAGGATACAAGATTCATGATTTAGAGGCGAAGTACTATGCAGATGGTGAAGATGCTTATGATATGAGGAAGCAATTGAAGGGTAAGAAGCATCATCAGCAGCACCAGCACCAGCACCACCACCACCACAGTGGAGGGTGTTGCTCCGGGGAAGTGAGAACTGAAGGAAAGGATGGTGTGGCAGAAGAAAAGGCACACTCATAGGCAACTGTGCGTTCCATGGTGCATTCCATCACTCTTTCTCACTATACATAAACTATTGTGCTTTGAAGGAGCTGACATCTTGTTACCATATGAAAACATTGTTCTTAAGAATTGACACTTTGTTTTCTCTGCTAATACTGAGATCTTCTCTTGCACTCTTGAATCTCTAATTATATCTTGGAATCCTATGAGTTTGTTGTTATCATATATACAATGGAGAGAAAGGACATATATCACACAACACCATATCAACATTTATCTCTTCCATTAATTTACTTGTCTTTTTGAAAACCATTATAGGGATGAAGTTTTAAATGTTGACTGTACACACACACCCACGCCCACAATCCCCTCTCTTCAATGGGAATTAGATAGAATCCAGGTTTCTTAAATCCCTGAAAGAGTAAAGACTAAAGACTTGTAGAACAGTAAAGCTTTCAAGAATATGCTTCTTTTTTGGGTACAAGAAGAAAATGCTTTTATTTGCACATAGAAATTTCCACATAGGTGCTACATATTGTAGTTGAATATTCTAGTTTCAAGGTTGCACACGCTTCTTGCTATTTCTTGGAAACTTGTCATATGTGCATTATGCAAAAGTGTGCAGTGTGCTGTCTATTTTGGCTAAAAGACCAAACTTTCTTTTTAGTATCATAGTTGCTAAAGTCATGATTGGAGAAACCAATAATTCTAGGTTGCTTCCCTCCCTAAAATGGTGCTTGGATTTCTTTTTGTGCTGCTTGTTCATTTTCTTATCCTTGACACTTTCAATGTAATATTCCCTCCAGACCAAAGAGATTCTTCATGCCTCTGATATCTTACCTTATTATCTTAATCTGTTTTATATTAAGGAAAATGTTAGCAAGTGGGCACTTAAGAACATTACATGTTCTTTTTCTATTCATTCATTTTAGCTTAGTCATACACAAGTGTGAACCACATGTGTGATGAACTAATATATACCTGTAAATGTGAGTTTTTTAGATTGCACTTTAGACAGCACAGATGATTAGAGTGCTTTTGGACTGTCAAAAAGGGTATTCAGAAAGAGGCAAATATCCACACTTGTTAAGAACATCCATAATAGTGGAGATATTTTGTGGTTTTTGAGGAGTTTTTGTAAGTGTGATTAAGAAAGAGAATATGAGAGATGAGGAAAAAAACAAACAAAACTGATTTTTTTTATTAAAAAAAGGTCACTGTCAACGCACTTGTGACACGCGCGAGGCTGGCATATTTTCTCAGTGGGACCCACTTTTCTGCAATAAACTCCTCTTGTAGATGAACCCACACCTTCTCTCTCGTCTTCTCTCTCCACCACCTCACCCACCGCTGTTGCAAAAACTCCTCAATATTTGCTAATGGTGATCTCAGTATTTGCTAATGGTGATCTCAGAAGAAACAACCACACAATCCCAATAATATGGAACACATCTTTAAGGTGAACCCATTGCTCATAAATAAAGAATATGATAATCTAATTAATATAATAATACACAAGTCTACCTAACTAAGATGGTGCTAATAAAATATTCTTAACTGAACTTGGGTGAAGAAACCCATTATTCTAATTACACAAAAAGTGGACTCGAGCCGAATTTATATTAGTCCCACAGTGGTGATGATACCGGATGCGGGTGGGCCAACAAGAGCATCCAAGACTGCTGCTTATGTCTTATTCAAATTTTGCATTATCATGATCTTCCCCCACCATTGATGTGGCAACATCAGGCCAGGGCCAACCCTTAGTCCAGTCCTAGGTCCTTATTGATGGTGGTCATTAAAGAGAGGAACACCCCCCCCCCCCCCCAACAAATCTTATGTACACATTGGTTGGGTTAGTTAAAAAAAAACTGCATTACTGTTATCTGAACTGCCTTGCAAATCGACCGGGGACCCTAGGGGTTGGCACAACCATGTCGCGCCCATCTTTTATCGCAGTTATACGTTCTTGGATCGTTTTGTCAAACAACCTGCTCTCGGGGCTCTCAGCGTAGCAGACATAGTAACATCCCACACAAGCTTGTGGCACAGCCATGGCAATCCTTGTCTGTCACATGTTTGATTTGCAAAAGTTTATATCACATGGCCAAGTGGATATGTATATATTATATGTAAAGGAACAAGTGGGGTTAAGGATTGAAGACTAACCAAAAGGTATCCTATGTAGGCTGCCAAGAGCGACAGGGTGGCGGTGAAGTTCCTGTACACGGTGGCTGTCCAAGCAGCCACCACGATCGCACAGATGGAGCCACTGCATATTCCGGTGAGGAAGCAAATGGCACTCGTCATGTCAGAATCGACAATCTGCTCCATTTCCCGCATCTGAAATAGCTCCCAAGTGTCCTGAGAGGCTTTCACAAAACTTTTCCCATAAGCAGCAATCTGTGGAATGCAAACCATTCTTGAAACTTGAAACTCAATTCAAACTTCCAAATAATGAAACAATTTTTTTTTCTTAAATTGCAATTCTTGTATGTATAATTAAACAGTATCAAGATGGGAGGTTATGGGTTCGAGCCTCAGCGGAGGCGATATTAACTCTTTGTGCTTCAGTAGGTTGAGAAAGTAGTTATGAACAGATACTGCATTGTAACAGAGTTAGTAGTACTAAAAAAAATCACAGCTAAATTACCTGAACATAGGCCCAGCCATTGCCACGCTTGAAGATGGAGTCCATGACTTTTAGGCCACAACGAGCGCAACAAAACATGAACTCATCTTCTCCCTCGAGCAAATTCAACCCGCGTGCCACAATCCTGAGAGCCTCGATGGCGGGCACGAAGAGAGAGCCAAGGCAGGCGCTTCCGAGGTTGTTAGACAAAGCTCTTTGGAAGCAAAACTTAGTACGAGATTGCATTCCCCTGAGGTAATACAGGGCGACCACCCTACTAACCGTCAAGTTCACCACATTCCTCATCACCTCCGTGATCCAACACATGCTCAATACCATCACAATGATTATCAGCGGTGGGAAATAGAAATTTATGGCCCCAATAACCGCCAAAACCCACAACAACATCCAAACGAACCCAGCCCCAAGCATCCAATAAGTAGGCTCATTCAAGTCCCCGAATTTAGGAACCGGATCGAGGGCCTTGACCATGATTTTACAAAAGAACCCTGTTCTTGGTGTGACCCAACACGAGTACAACCCATTCCCTATCGCAAAGAAAATGAAAACAACCCCTAACCCATCCGTGGCGGGTCTTTGAAAGCAAATTAGGAGGATCCCAGCTGCTAAAGTGAAGATAAACGAGCTCCAAAGTATGAAATGGACCATGAATTTAGGCCACATTCTAAACCCCTTCTGCCACAAGAGTGCCAGTGTTATGCTAAGAAAACTAGCACCCACCACCTGTGGCAGAAAATACTTCAATAACCTTTCCTCTTTGATCTTAGCATCCCCTGCTTCTATTAGGCCTTCAACCCCCTTGAATACAAGAAATCCCACTAACCCTACAGCCACTATCAGATGCAGAAGAAACAGAAACAGGGAAAACTTGTTTGTGTATGCTCTTGAATTCAGTGTTATCACTGCACGTTGCTAGTCAAGCACAAAAAAATAAAAAAAATAAAAATTCCATTACAATTTTGTGTTTTTGTTTCCCAAAAGCAAAAACAATCCAGCCAAGTTGGTCAGAAAGTTTAACTTAGTAACCCGTTACTAAGTTATGCTCTCAAGTCGTGATCAGACTGTTAACTTGGTAATTGTGCCGGATTTTCTTGGCCAAAGAAAAAGAAAAAAAAAAGTTTAAATCTTTATGACTTACTTGGGGAGTAACCGTGACGGTAGGGGTGGAGCGCGGCTGGGAAGAAGGGGGAGGAGAAGGAGAAGGTGAAATGTGAGGCGGCGGAGAGGGGGAAGGTTGTGGCGGCGGAGAAGGAGAAGGGATAGGAGGCTGGGAAGGAGAAGGGCGAGGCGGTTGAGGAGGAGGAGGATGAGAACGGCGAGGCGGCTGAGGAGGAGAAGGTGAGGCAACTCTGATGGCACTTTCCATTACAAGCCGAAGAGGGTTTGTAGCACTCAGCCTTTGCATTCTCCCCATGTGAAAACCATGACCGCCACCACCACCCGCCGGCGCCGGCGGCGCCGGCGGGTAGTTGTAACTCCCTCCCGCCTGAAAACCCATCTCACCTCTCTCCACATCTCTCTGCCTCTCCTCCGCTTCTCTTTCATTATTCTCTCTCTCAACCACCTAAACAAAAAACAGAAATCCCAGTTCAGGGAAGTTACAAAAAAATTAAAAAAATATAATCTTTCCCAAGAATACTCAAGAAGCAAAAAGAGAGAGCTAAGTAGCTTACAGGTTCCGAGGCGCCCATTGACGGTGGATCGAGGCGGCGCGTGGAGGTGATGAGGAGGAGAGTTAAGATTTTGTTGGTATGTGGTGGCTGATGTTCAAACGTTGCCAGCAGGCATCACCACTCCGCACAGCTTTTACTTCTTACCTCATAGGCGCATAAACAAACATGCTTTAGACTGTTCAGACGCGCAGGCCGTATCGCGTGCGGGCACGCTCTAACGGCAGTGGAGACGGAGTGTTACTGTTAGGCGTGAGCCGCCACGACAGTTTCGATTGCGGAGACGGGTTCGAGTGCGTGGATGGACCACGGTTTGTTATTTTTGGGATATTCGCACGTGGGTAATTTTTTTAATTTTTTATTTGGGTAAAGTTTGAAGTCAATTGGAGCGTGATAAAGTAATGCAGAGTAAAATACTTCTTCATTTGTAGTAATAAATTTCTTTTAAAAAGTGTGTTACTAAATTTATAATATACTTTTTTGAGTACTTAATAAATGTAAACAAAAAATGCCAATTAAGTACTATAACAGTGTTGCATAAGGAAGTGATTAATAAGAATTAGGAAGAAAATGTAAAATTACTTTTTTAAATAAGGGAAAATTGTTAAATAAATCTTTCAATTTTATACGAAATTGTAATTAGATTATTGAACTTTTGAAAAGTGAAATTAAACACTTCAATTTATCATTTTGGTGTATCTGAACGCAATTGCGGGTTAGTGATCTATAATAACATGTCGTTAGAGTTTCGATGGTGCTTCGAAGGAAAATTGACGATCGACAAATTGTCGCAGATCGTCTTTTTTGAAGAAAAAAAAAAGTGGCATTCTATATGAATAAGGCAACTATCTTCATTGTCGATCAGAAGAAGGCAACCAGTCTAGGACGATCGACAAATTGTCGCAGATCGTCTTTTTTGAAAAAAAAAAAGTGGCATTTTATATGAATAAGGCAACTATCTTCGTTGTTGATCAGAAGAAGGCAACCAGTCTAATTGACCTATTGTTGATTTTTTTTTGAACGACGACAGTCAACAACAATCAATATTAATGAATTTATTTAACCGACTTTAATAAGTTTAAGTGTTTAGTTACACATTTTAAAAATTTATAAGCCTAATTACACTTTTATGTAAAATTAAAAACCTATTTAACTCTTTTCCCTTAAAATAATCTTAGTTAATCAATTATCATCTGTAACATAAGATTATAATTTTACTAAAAAATAATTTGATCATTTTCAAACTAGTTATTGCACTCCCGCAACCGTTACTTAAGAGCAATAACCGTTTCTTTGACTAGATCAACGTCAGAGATGTGAAGTCAAGGTGAGGTATGTGGGACCCGGCAACCACCTTATCAAAATTGCTTGTTGGCCGTGTAAGGCACCTCCCTGAAGGTGCGAGAAATTATAGGCGTAATAAGAATTTTCATAATCTTAAATGATTCGTGACAAGTACCATCATCTTACAATTTGACTATAAATTAATTTTAAAAGTTCCAATTTTACTATCGTTCAATTATAGTTAGTATTATAGTATATAATAATAGGGTATTAAGTCCCAAAGAGAACCAAATAAGTAAAATAAAATGATTACAGAGTATAATTGATTCCAACCGATATCTTCCCAGATAAATTTGTTATATAAAATTTTATAACGTGATTTACTTTTGACTTGTAACTTGGAACACAAGAGTAAAATTTTGATCCGCAGGGCTTAGCTCAATGATTTAATAAATAATATTTGAGATAAGACTTTAGCGACGATAATGTAAAAATTATGTGTAAAATAAACATATAAAGATATGTACCAATATTAGATCATGTCTGCTGAACTATTAAATTATCGTGATTTACATCCTCTTAAGTACTATGTTAAGCTAGGATGTTTGAGGCCCTTGAGGTACACGTCCAATTCTTCATCATCATAAAGATAAGTATTGAAACTGAGGGATGAGGTAGATGTATGGAGAAACATTGATCTCTAGAAACATATACAAGTTTCCAAAATGCTACAGTGTAACCGCCTTTGTTATGTACAGGCAACAGATGTTGAATATTCAGCAGAGCAGACATCCAGATACCTTAAACATGTAACTAAGGATTTTTCTATACTCTTACAATTTACAAGTAATACAAGTTACAATTTAACCCCAAATTAATCGAGTTTAATGTGATTATTAAATACTAATCGTAGAAAAAATAATAAAAGTATGTAAGTTATATTCGGTAGAGCTTATAATTTATTTTAAGTTAAAATTTATACATATAAGCTATAAATACTACGGAGTACTTAGTAAAACATGAAGAGTTTAATTAATTTACAAAAAATGACATTATTTACTTTACATTAATCAAAATTCTAATATCTTAATTTATCCTTTTATGTTTTTATACACTTATCAATTAGTTCAACAATTAATTTTACTCAACACTTTAATTTCAATTAGTTAGCTTATTAGCTACTAGTTTTTGAGCTTTCAGTTAGCTCTTTTGCTAAGATACTAAATAAAGTCACACAAAATATAAAATAATAGTTTATTTTGAAACACTATCTTAAAATTTTGTTGAGCATAAAAACTAGTTTAAAGTTAAAAACTTAAAAATGAGTAACTACTAATTTATTTTGAATACTAATTAAGTGGCATTTTAAAATAAATTATTATTTTAAATTCTTTATGTTTTATCTAACAAATTTCATAATTTATTTGTAATTTAAAAAAATTATAAACTCTAAAATTAAGGAGTCTACTAAGTTTTAAGTTAACTTCTAAATTGTTTTCAAAAAGAAAAAGAAGTTAACTTCTATATTAGGTATCCAAATAGAAAGGTAACATAAGGCTGCATTTTCCCCTGCACAACTACCCAGAAGTCCAACGGTTAGGTAGGACCGTAGGAGACAGCCCCTGAATTAACCAGAGCCAAACACAGTCAGCAACGGATAACTCTGCAGACAAGATGAGGTAGAAGAATATATTTATAATAACATTCTTCAGCACATCATGAAAAAAAAGTATAAAAACAACTGACCCCCAAATCATTTTTATTGTTGAAGGGGTTCAGTGGTTCACACACCTGCCAAAAAATAGTACAAGACCATAGCTGTTGAACAGAGGATAGGCAGAAGATAAAAGGCAAAGCACATGATAGTATTTCAGTATTTACCAATTTTAAGTTCTGTATAAAATATAAAGAAAAAGGAAACTGTGTAGGATTCAAATATATTGAAACTATGAAGAATTCCTAGGTTTGGGAAAATCAGTTCAGGAATTTCATCACTTGAATGAAGAGCAGACCAGGAAGGATAAACACAGCAGAAGAGATTTTCATAGTAATGGAAACAGAACATGCTTCTAAAACAGAGCTTTTAACACTATGAAAATGGTCAAAATTTGGCTTTTACATGTAAACAGTAAATAACTCCCTTTGCTCCTTTTAAACCACTAGCTGATGAGAATCTACTTTGCTGCATTGGAGGACTCGGGCTGTGGCTTAACTATGCTTAACCAACCACCATCCTTAGTAGCAATAGTAGCAGCTTTTTTTTTTTTTAATAACCCAACTAAGTTAGTCAGGTTGTTGGCTTGATAACTAAGGTTGTTGGCTGTGGCTTAACTATGCTTAACCGACCACCATCCTTAGTAGCAATAGTAGCAGTTTTTTTTTTTTTTTTTTTTTGTAACCCAACTAAATTAGTCAGATTGTTGGCTTGGTAATCACAATATTTCAAGTTCGACTCCTAGTAAGAGTCGCCTACTTAATTTTTTAGTTTGAGCCGGTTAACTATAGACAATTTAAGGTGATTTACCTCCTTGTAGTCCTCTAGTGGTTAGAGTCACAAGGTGGGGTTTACTCAATGCATACCATTGGATAGTGACAGCGAGTTTCCCTTGTCATCTTAGCAGCTTTTACTTCATTGCAGTTATTTATGAACTTGGTTAGCTCCTGAACAACAACAAAAAAGGGATCATACAGTTAATTGAAGCAAATCCAAAAGCATAAATACTTTCTATGAAACATTCTTTTAACTTTGACCTTTTTTTTCCCTAATCAGTATGTAGGTCAAGTAAACAGCATCTCAAACAAGCAGATCCCTCCAAATCAGATCACAAATAAGTGAGGATCATTTCATACTAAAAGAATGGGGGAACATTAGGGAATACTTTACTTTTTCTTCCCACAATGTTCCATATATCATCTTCCTTAGAGAAAATCAAGAGGGAGATAGAGAATGTTCTCTTAGCCTTTGATTTCAAATTTTGAATCTTTTGGCTGTTTTTCCTAGCTACTATGTATAAATAGGAGCTTGTACAGCTTCATTTACACACTGAAATTCACGAGTTGATCTATTTTCCTGGAAATTCCGTCTTTTGGTACTCTTGAAAACGTTATCAGCAAGGAATTCAATTAATTTGTTGCCATAAACCTTCACTTTAGGGGTTGTAAATTCATTCTAACAATCTAGCTCAAGACAGATTATGAAAGTTATATACACTGGAAATTAACAAATATCAGCAAAAAATTAACTACATTTTTCAGTATATATAAAGCACATTGAACTGCAATTCATCCAAAACCGATCAAATGCATACACGAAAAGCCAATAAAGTAACGAAAATCAACACTATTAGCCCAATAGTTTTCACGTAAAGAAAGCCAACGGACTGACAAGAAATCCAGAAGAATAGAACCTTACACGATCCACATCTGTGTTTTTCGATGATTTCACAGCTCTCTTCCATTCAATTCAAGTTCGAAAATAGCATCTCATCAGGACCATATGAATTTACATAGAGGGCATATGTAAGGAAATTTCATGGCGATTGGGAGGGATGGACTTCTTCTTCTGTTGGCCTTTCAAAACATCAGACTAGGGCTTTTTACTCTAATTTCCCAAATTGATTGGAAAAGCCGGGTCCGGATCTCCAAAACCCATCATTTAAAACAAAAAAAAAAAAATAGTTAAAATGTGTAAAATTTTAAATTTGTAATTTGTTCTCTATTGAATTCTATTACATGTACTTTCAAATCTTCCTCCTTCAATATTACTCACTGAAGTGACAACTCTAATAAGCTATTTTTCTATGTAGGTCCCATTACAAGTGTCTATATCAAAGTTTTATGTATGAGAATAAAAATTAAAAAAAAATTAAAGTATACATAACATTTTCCTTTCCAATTATAGTGTGCAGTTAATAAGTTATGTATGTTACTTCACTTGCTTGTGAATCTACTTATAGTGAAGTAAATTGTTGTGTGGATTCACCTGTTGCCCAATTTGAAATCAAATTATTTGGACTTGTGAATCTTATTGGGCCATTGTGCAAAGTGAACTTTTATGTTTTAGAGAAGCTTCTCATAAGATTAGCTCTTTAACAAATATAAGAGTGACAATTTCTTTCAATTCGCAGAAAATTTTGAGAAATAGAGGCAAATAGTAAACTAGTAGTATTCGTTCCTAATTAGGGACAAAGATATCCACCGCCCCTCATTGACATTTTGTAATTGTGAATTTGCGCGAAAACTATATGCATTTTATAATTAACATTTCGATTGTCATTAAATTTGATGAATATTTAAATATTTTAATATTAAAAATATAATATTTAATTTTTTTTTTAATGAGAATCATACTAATTTGACTAGGACTAATTGAGGAAAGAATTCTTCTTATTGAAATTTTTTTAACATAAACGAAGACAAGAAGTATACTCTCTGTCAATATAATGTCATGCCCTTTTGCTATCTTTACTCAAATTTGAGTAATTTTGGTATTTTTATTATTTATTTATTTATTGTTATTGTTATCATTATTATTTTGGTTGAAATTCCCTCTCTTTTTTTTTTTGTTCGAAAATGAGGGGTTAACTCCAATTCAGCACATACACTCTAATAATAAGTTTCAGAAAATGCTAAAAGTATGCTTTGCTGGATGCCTACATCTTCCCAAACTTATCAATTTCCTTATCTTTAAGAAAATCAACATAAATGTCCCCACGGCAACATCTATTTATTGATTAGGTTTAAAAAGTAGGTGTCGTAAAAGAAAAATTAAAAAAAAAAAAAAAAAAAGAAAAAGAAAGAAGAAGCAATATCGTTACTTTTTGTAAATAAAATAATATATAGTTGTTGAGATAATTGTATTTAATTCAATATTTTGGACCTAATTAAATAATTATTTATCAAACAATGAATTGTCTGGGTCCATGATTTGGAAGCCAATTCGACTACGTACATTTCAAACATCATAAATAGCCAGACATGTTTCAATTCATGTCTTGTGTCGTTGTGGTTAGTCATACTACAAAAGTCACTTTGCTATCCGCACGGGCTTAACTCAATAGTTCAGTAGGTAGTATTTGTAAGAAAGATTAAGGTTCAAACCTCAGTAACGACAGTATGGAAATTATGCCCAAAGTGAACAGATCTCTGGTACGCACCAGTATTTGGTCATGTTGTTAAGCCATTGAGTCACCGTAATGCTCTGTCAGACCAAAGAAGTCACTTTGGTATTACCAAATTATTATATTGTTCAAGTGATCGTCTCACTCTATAAGCATTTTATTGTATAAATAGTAGTTCCTCACACCAATTAGGACTCCAATTCTTAACAAATTAAAACATTACTCTATTATTTAGTACTCTAAACTTGTACTCAAAGTCTGGGCTCACCAAACACTTTTAGAAGAAGAAGAATAATACTACAACTATTCTTAATTACTTATCCTCATATTTCTCCTATTTAAATATCATCAACGTATTTAAATTAAATATTCGAGGATGCACAAATCCGGACGCCAATAATTATTTACAAATTAAACAAATGGCTATTCTTGTGCTTATGGTCAACAAACATTATCCAGATCACAGGCCATTTAATTAAGATGGCATATTGGCACGGCCCACCATGCATGCATGTGTCCCTTTAATTATTATGATGGGATTTGAAATCAACTCACAACATGTCAACATGTCCACAAAGACAAGAAATCCCCATGATTGATGCACTATGTATACTATATGCAACTTTTCTAATGCTTTATGTGCTTAATTTGTTGATGTGGACAAATTGGCTATGGATAACTACTGCAACGTGAGATGATTTTCAAATAGTAAGATCTATAAATGGTGAGTTTTACAAATTAAAACAAAATAAAATATTAAAAAATATAAATCTTTTATAATTTTTGCAAGATCAAAAAGTTTGGATGAGGAGTATTTTTTCATCATCACACAGAAATGAACGACTTACATTTTTCTTATATATAGTGCTTCTATACCAATGTCAACAACCTCTAAATTGCTAGCAAAGTAAAATTATTAATTTTTAGATTGATTAACTTGTTAAAGTTATCTGGTAAAAAATTAGTAATTTTTTATGAAATATAAAGAAATAGAAAGAATGTTAAGGGAATAAGGGTAGTAGCAAGTTGACAACTTGAAGCATTATAGTAAGAAAAAGGTACCTTTGGAGTGTCGTGCTATCTTTGATCTATCCCAGGCTGCAGCGCACCGACACAGATTAAACAATGGCGGATGGCCGCCGATTTTTACTTCTTCCCATGTTGACCAAATCCTATAATATCCCCTGATTTCATTTCTTCTTCGGCCCGAGTTCAAAATCCAATGGATTTTCCAGTTTCTCTGCTTCAGATTCTCCTCCCATGGCTTCTCTTTGCTCTTCAGATCTTCCCCTCACCCTTATCGGCGCAGCAGAGATCCACCTACATTGTCCACATGGACAAGTCCTTCATGCCCGCCGCCTTTGCCGGCCACCACCACTGGTACTCCTCCGCCGTTGATTCCCTCAACGTTTCACCGCATGGCGCCGCCGCCGCCTCGCCCAAGCTTGTGTACTCCTACGACAATGTGATTCACGGCTTTAGCGCTGTGTTGTCGGAGGAGGAACTTCAGGCCTTGAAGAAGTCTCCGGGATTCGTTTCGGCTTATAAAGATCGAACCTTTGAGCTGCAAACCACGTATACTCCTAGCTTTCTGAAGCTTAATTCGGATACGGGGCTATGGCCGGCGTCGAAGTTCGGCGAGGATGTGATCGTCGGCGTGGTTGACTCCGGTGTATGGCCGGAATCCCGGAGCTTTAGGGACGACGGCATGCTGCCGATTCCCAAGAGGTGGAAGGGTGTTTGCAAGGAAGGTACACAGTTCAATTCTTCGTTGTGTAACAGAAAGCTCATTGGCGCTAACTATTTCAACGCCGGAGTTCTCGCCGCGAATCCCGGGACTAATATCTCCATGAATTCCGCCCGGGACACCGACGGCCACGGCACGCACACGGCGTCGACAGCCACCGGAAACTACGTCCAAGACGTCTCCTACTTCGGCTACGCCGCCGGCACGGCGAAAGGAGTGGCGCCTCGGGCTCGTTTGGCGGTGTACAAGGTTAGCTGGGCCGAAGGGGCTTACACTTCCGACCTCCTCGCCGGCTTGGACCAGGCCGTCGCCGACGGCGTCGACGTCATCTCAGTTTCCATCGGCTACCGCTTCATTCCCCTGTACGAAGACACCATCGCGATTGCCGCTTTTGGCGCTATGATGAAAGGCATTCTCATCTCCGGCTCCGCCGGAAACGCCGGTCCAAACGTCGGTACATTAAACAACGCCGCTCCGTGGATGTTGACGGTGGGTTCCGGCTTAACAGACCGGTGGTTCGCCGGAACAGTGACACTAGGAAACGGGTTACAAATCAGGGGATGGAGCTTGTTCCCGGGGAGAGCACTGGTGAGGAACGTAAATCTGCTTTACAACAAAACAATCTCTGCCTGCAGTTCATCGGAATTGGTGGCTCAAGTCCCTGACCCACAATTCACTATCCTCATCTGCGAGAAACCGGAGAGTGAGGACGGTTTCTCCGACCAAATGCGCTACGTCACGGCAGCCGGAATCCGCGCCGCTATCTTCGTCAACGACGATCCAGGGATTTTCCGTTCCACCACATTTCCAAACCCAGGCGCCGTCATCACCCCAAAAGAAGGAAAACAAGTCATCAAATACGCCAAATCCGGGAATAACCCAACGGCCACATTCACTTTCCAGGAAACATTTTTCGGGAACAAGCCGGCGCCGACGGTGGCCGCGTCCTCTTCCAGGGGCCCATCTCGGAGCTACCTAGGAATCTCGAAGCCCGATATTTTAGCGCCGGGAGTATTGGTCTTAGCGGCATATCCGCCTAACAGCTTTGCCACACTTATCGGAGCCAACATTCAATTAGGCACCGATTACAATCTGGAATCAGGAACCTCCATGGCCTGCCCGCACGCCGCCGGAATCGCGGCGATGCTGAAAGGGGCACACCCGGATTGGAGCCCCTCCGCCATCAGGTCCGCCATGATGACCACCGCGATCACAGTAGACAACACCGGAAAACCAATCAAAGACTCCGACGACAACTCCGCCGCCACGCCGCTGGACATGGGTGCCGGCCTGGTTGATCCCAACGCCGCACTCGATCCCGGCCTAGTTTACGACGCCACTCCACAAGACTACGTTAATCTCCTCTGCGCCATGAACTTCACAGAAGCTCAATTCCAAAGCATAGCAAGATCTTCAGCCACCCATAACTGCTCCAACTCAAACCCAGATCTAAATTACCCATCCTTCATCGCTCTATACCCTCTCGGAGGAGATAACGGAGTTTATGACTGGATGGTGCAGACATTCAAGAGAACTCTGACGAATGTTGGTTCCGGCGCCGCTACATACAAGGCAAAGCTGGAAGTTCCCAAGAACTCCACAATCTCAGTGTCTCCTACAACATTGGTGTTTACGAAGAAGATGGAGAAGCAGAGTTACAGTCTGAGGATACGGTACAGAGGCGATGAGAATCAGAGCAAGAATGTTGGTTCGATTACATGGGTAGAAGTGAATGGTAATCATAAGGTTAGGAGTCCAATTGTTGTG